AGCAAACACAGGAACAGGTGAGTATGTCCTTAGGAAAAAAAAAAAAAAGAAAACATGAGACATACTGTAAGAACAGAAACTTGTTACAGCATTTGAAGTTAGCACAGGAAACTTCAAATGGCATCATTGATTTGCAATCCTTTTTTTCTTTTATTTTTAGAGGTGGAAGTTCATAGCTTGCTTTCGCTCATCCTGTTCACTCTTCTTTCCAGCCACAGGCCCACACAAACACACACATGCCTTGCAAGACACGTTCCACTTCTTTGCTTTTCCTTCATCTGTATGTGTGTTTATGTTAAAGGTAATGTGTTTACAGCAACTTGTAAATATTCAAATTTAGAAGAGCCAAAGATGTCAACCCCATTTCAAACCCATCTTCCCTTCTGTGAAAGAATGATCTACAGGGATGTTATACTAAGATTCTTCTCAGAATAGTGGGGAAAAATTGTCCATTTCCTAACATGTATAAACCCTTGGAATTCTACATTTTTAAAGTCCTAAAATGCTCAAATTTTAACAAGTTTTCTAAATTTTATTTCCTGTATCTCTAATAAAGGAAAAGAAAAATATCATAATGATTATTAGGATAGTAGTCTTTCTTTTTTTAAAATTTCAAATAGGGCACTTGTCATCTCTGCAGATTTTTCAAGAATAGGCCTGCTCTGTTTAGTAAGCAAATATTTGGGTGTTAGTGAATTTGTATGCTGTTTCCTAAAAGTTCAAGTGAATGGTTATATGTAAATAAACAGTTGTTTGTCTATATGCGTCTGTGTGTGTGGGAAGGAGAAGGAGAGGAATGGGAGAGAGAGAGGAAGGAGAGAAAGGGAGAGAGAGCAGTGCCATGGAAATATATTTAATTTTAAATGGCTGCTTGCTTACAAAGGCCTGATTGACCTTGGAAATCTAAATGGCTTGTTCAGTCAACACTGAAGTCCCCATGATTCACCAAAGCACAGAACTCTAAAGCTGCTATACTCAGAAGGTGGCACCTGGCATACTTTAATTGGCATTATTCCTGGTTGATTTGCCTCTGCTTTAGGGAGCACAGAAGAGAACACTTTCCTCTTGCCATTAGCTCTAGGCCCTTCTTTCTGACTTATGAAGAAATATTAAAAGAACTAATATGTACAATTTGAGTAAACAGTGACTAAGAGGGGATATGCTAATTATGTGCAAGAGTTTGAAAGGTGCATACACTGAGGAGGACGAGAAGTTATTTAGCCTGGTAGCTGAATATTGCCAGGAGACACAAAAGCACATTAAGCAAAGGGAGATTTAAACTAAACACCAGATCCCGGAATAAATATAACACTCGGCGACGTGAGCAAGCTTGTGGAAATAGGTTGAGATGTTTAAAATACCAGAATATTGAAATTTGCATTTCAAGTAAACATTTATACAAGGGCAGAAAGTAATAGATAGGAACAAGAGGAAGGCCCACGTTGTAGCCAGAGGGCTTTATTCCAGCAGAGAACTCAACAACAGGTTAAGTGTCACACTCCATTCCCAGAGCCTTCTTAAGGTTGAGAGAGTAAAGGGGAAATGGGGACAGCACCCTTGGGTTGAGAGCAGCTAGTCAGAGTGAACTGAAAACATGGAGGGGAAAGGTGGCCTGAGGGGGACAGACACACAAGGGCAAAGGGAGAGGAGCAAGAGAATCCAAGGGCATTTTAGAATTCTGACTCGAGATTAACAACATGTACTCCATGCTTTGAACAAAAAACTGCAGTTGGTCATGGTGACTGTTTCCACCTGGGGGCTCTGTTAGCATTGCCATACCTTCTTTTGAAGCAATAACTCCACACAGCAAATACATCCTTAGGACATGGCCAGAGATGCCCCATCCGGCTTTTCAACAGCAGAAGATTCAGCATACCTTTTCTTCCCCAGTAAAAGAGTACTCTGTGAGGATCATTAAAAGGAGTGGATTGATATACTAGCTTCTCCTATAGACATACTGAGCTACCTTTCGATACTGAATTCTCCTGAGCTATATGATTTATTGACTCTGACTTTAGTTTCTGCTTGTGTTTCTTAATTCAGCTCAGCTAACTCCACCAACTAATCTGAGCCAAATTCTGTGCAACGGAAAAGCTCCCATTTCCTCTCAGATCACTATGGATTAATAAGAAGTGTTCAAGTGAAGTAGGACAGATAATGTGTTGTGGGCAAAGTCTCCTGTGGGTGTAAGAAAGACAGACGAGCAAGAGGTGGTAGTCAGTATAAAAGTTTCAGCTGAAGGATCCAAGGGGTCAAGGAAGAATGACAAGAAGGTTCCAGAGGTGTTGTTTAATATTTTAAATTCTTATCAAGCTTGTTACATGAAGGAAGAACAGCCAGTTTCTCTTGCCTGTATTTGGTTTGCACACTGAGACTCCCCACTCTAGTGAAGCAGCTGTGTATGTGTGTGCTGGGGAATGAGGCAGTCATCAGAGTAGAGCAGAGCTATCATGGGAGAAGCAAATGATCATCCTGCCTTATGGTTGGGGCCCATAAGAGAAACTTCCTTTCATCTTCAGGTGGTATTGGGGTTAAGTCTTCCTGGAGATGTGGGATTGAAAATTCATCTGGTGAGGATCTGTTTTATTATCTACTTACCTGGAAAGACTGGATTATTAATACCTACATTGGCATGTAAGAATCCCAGGTCCAAAACCCAATAAACACCACTTTATTTTCTCTGGTTCATCTTAATGTTTACTCTCACAGGTGCCACCTTCCCAAACCTGTAGGGCCTTCATTTGTACTGCTAAAAGTCATCTTTCCCTCTCCTGGAACAGGTTTATATCTTTCAGAAATTCAAACTGCAAGGTAGGGATTCACTACCCACCATTTCTAGGTATTTCATGGGAATCAAAAAAGACTTCAGTGTTGTCAGCCATCTCTAAGAAGACTGCACTTGTTCTCTCTTTCACTGACAGCTCAGTACCTACTCAGGAATGAGGTTGATGGGTGTGGGGGCAGGGCATGGGAGAAATCCTACACCATTCCGATATCGTTTTGAACCCTCTTTCATTACGATCCACCATGATTCTCAAAATCAGTAATGTTGTCTTACTGTCAATCCCACTCTGCACTCCAGATTTTTTAATGAGTTTACACCTATTTTGGCCTGCAGTTGTCAACATTACCATTTGTCTTCAGGGTATTTGTATTTGGCTACAAGATTTTAGCGTCAATTAGCTGGCGTGACTCTCAAGTCCATAGTTGCAAGTACGTAGGAATGAATTTTTTTTCCTCCAAGTCCAAATTCTTACCGGCTCGTCCAATAGAGTGGACTATTACCCTTCCTAAGATTTCTGTTTTCTTTCCTACCATATTCTACTTCTGTGGCATGTGAAGTCACATCTGACTGCTTGCCTAAATGTGGAGAAGAAGAAAGGTGAAAACACAGAGGAAAAAAATCTTTTACAGATAATACGCAGTTATTTACTTAATAGACTAATTCTAAAACATTTTCAGTAGAAGCATGTGCTAGATAATGTGCAGGACCAGAACCATACATTTCTATATAACTACTGTCCTTTATTGTTGAGATTGCATAGTTTCCTCAGTACTAGTGATAGTGACAATTGACAGAAGACTCGAAGCTTGGCTGACAGTTGTGTTATAGGATGTTATCAAAGAAGCCCTATGTTCTATTGGGAGTCTAGTTAACAGGTTTGGCTGACATATTTAGACAGTGAATTTGTCTCTGTGCTAGTTGTCTGTTATGTTGATTTGGCCATTGGGGAATTTCCAGAAAAGGAAAACAGCTTGTGGCATTTGTGCAAAGCTATTAATTGGTACCATTCAGTGTAGGATGACCGGGAGCAAGATTTCTTCACAGGGGCAGGACGGTGTCCTTTAGCAGGCTCCCAGGCTGTTCCATCTTAACCTGACAGCAGTGGGATTTGTAATCTAGGGTGAGGAGGGTTCAATTTAGCCAGAATTAAAGTCCATTGGCTTTTTTGGCCAACCTCTTTCCCTGCTCAATCCCCTTTCTTCTTCACCTTCTTTTCCTCCCTTTCCCTTTCCTCCCCTCCCCTTCTTCTTCTCCCCACCCCATCCCTCTCCAGGAAGAAACTCATTTAATCAATTATGCTCCACATAAGGGGCGTTAAAGAAGGCTGCCTATCTTGAAATTTCATTACTAAATGGACACATCCAACTTTGTCGGACTGTCCAAAAAGGCCTCCAGACCCCTAATCCTAACTGATTAAGCCAACGATATTGAGCTCCCTACCACTCACGCCCATGTGACACAGTCTGTCACAAAGCACAGCATCAGCGGTGTATTCTTATGGATCTGGTCCATAGCCTGAAAGCCTCAGTAATGATGTAGTTTGATACTGAGCGAGGAAACCATAACTGCAAGACAGGGTTTTGAACATGACCTTTGTGAACAGAATTCCTCATAATCTAAGGGAGAAAAGTGACAGTTTCTCAAAAGGAAGCCACTTGTCCTAACAACAACTGGTGGGAAGAGTGCTTTGCTGCATGGTGTAATTGATGATATCAGTGCTTCAACAGTAGTGCCTCTGAGTCCTTACAACCATGTGCACCTGCCCCCAACTCCCACTTTGTTCTGAGCCCTTAACCAATGACTGATGGGTGGATGTCTGTCCCCCTCATGGGTGTAGATGCATTAACACTCCAGCTTCCTGACTTTTGGTCAGAACAACTTTAGGTGGGGTATGTGCTCTCCCCAGAGCTCCCTGAGGGATTAAGCCAAGTTGTCCTGTATGGGATGTGACCTCTACCCTCTCGTGGCTTCTTTCTCATCGAGATCCCATTTTCCTACTTCCCTACTGGTTTTTCCTGAGAACACTTCCTCCAGAATCACTTTCATGTGACTCTTTGTCTTGGGTGGGGTCTGCTTCTGTGGAACGTTACCTCTGACAAATACATTGTCAAAGTATTAAAAATCCATGTGTATTTTCTGCTTCTGGAAAAAAAAATAGGTGTTCTGCTGCACATTGTAAACCTAAAAAACAGTCATGCAAATCTCCATTTTTCAGGGAGAGAATTTGAAGGAGAAGAAGAATATCTGGAGATCCTCGGCATCACCAGGGAGCAGTCAGGCAAATATGAGTGCAAAGCTGCCAATGAAGTCTCTTCAGCGGATGTCAAACAAGTCAAGGTCACTGTGAACTGTGAGTATGGCAAAAGCCAGCAGGTGCAGTGTGCCCAGGGCCCACCTCCACCACTAGCAAGCTCTAAAGATCCCATTAGCAAAAGAACATTGCATTTCAAGCAGACGCGCCTCTGGTCAGGGATACACATTTATACATTGGACATATCCAAGGGCAGGACGTGGCCTTTGAATTTGATAAATCAACTCTACCAACTCTAAATATAACCCATAATGCATTTAACAATACAGTCTGTCTTTTACTCAGACTACAGAATTAAGAAAACATGATCAGACAGCACTAGCATATCTGGCAATCACTATTCTGGTCTTTGTGGAGAACAAGGTCATACCACCTTGGAAAAAGAAATAATTCATATCTGCTTAAACTGGAATTTCTATCTTATTGCATTGTTTGTCAGAAGGGAATAACCTATCCTCTGCTCTTTAGCTCATTGGCCTTGAGAATAAATTCAAGTCACTGGTCAGATATCACGTGTCCCCGATGGCTACTAGGGATACCTGATAAATTAATTTGGTTATCTATTTGTCCCAAAGTATGGGCATTAGAAACGAAGATTTCACTAAGATGCATAGGTAATGGGCATACTTTGAACTTCTCAGATGAAAGGATCCTTAGATGTAGTTCAAAAGACAGGGGGTGGGGGTGGATCCATATGATGTGTGTCACCCAGCAAAGGAATAAAGAGAATTCGTTTACCCTGTTCAGTTAAGAGTGACTTTTCACATCACTCAAATTCAAGTTCCCACATCACACAATTGTGGCTAGTGACAGGAACAAAGGGAGGTCCTAACACTTCTTCCCTCCTATGCACACACACACACACACACACACACACACACACACAAATACATACCCTACACACCCATATATACATATCCACATATAACACACATACATGCACATGCAAGCACAAAGGCATACAGAGACACATGCACAATCACATTGACCCACATTTGAAGATATACTTCAGACCATGACAAGTTACTTTCCATTATCTTAAGTCCTCCATGCAGTTACCTATATACCAGTGATCCAAATTAAGTCCCTGTCATGGTGTACATAATAGACTCCATTTTAGGGTTTGAGGCACAGAAGCCCCAGGAGGTAAAAATTGCCTTTCCAGTGTGAAAGCAAGTGTAAGAAAAGGGATTCAGACTCTGGCCCATTTGATTCTAAAGCCCATGCTCTCAGGAGAAAGAGGAAGAGAAGGAGTTTTCAATTCTTAATACCTACCACGTGCAGCACTGGACTAATGGGTTTACATTTGTCATTTAATTCACACAGTAAACTCCTGAGAAAAATATCATTAGGTTGACTTTAAAATTCTGGGAACTGAGGCATAAAGAGGTGAGGAAACTTGCCTAAGGTGACCTGGTCCACACTGGGCTGCACCATTTCCCAATGCCCTGTTTTAACCTTGCAGCCTTCTGAGACAGACAGTGAAATCTCCTTCACACCATACCTAGAAGAATCCAATACCTAGGACTCTGCCATAGACACTTATGGAAATCATTTCCAAGAAGCAAGGGGTACATCTGATGAGCTCTGAAGTGCTTTTATCCTGTAGCTGTCTGCGATTTTTTTTAGTAATAGAGTTTTGAAATGCCAGTATTACCATTCTTTTTCAGTGCTGGGTGTGTTTCAAAGACACATTAATGATCTCAATGTTATAAAATGCTTTAGGACCTTTTTTTCACATGAAAGGCAATTTCTCTGGGTGTTTATATAAGTTTATAATTAGGTTAGTTAGGTTCTTTTATGTACACAGAGCCGTGCCATCATCTTCCACCTCTTCTCTGACTTTTAGAGTTAAGATTTCATTTTCTCTTAATTGACCTTCATCTTAATTAGATTTCTGAAAGTCCAATCATGGAGTACATAGAAAATATTTATGCTTCCATTGTGTGAAACATCAAAGTGGTCTGCATTGCAGATGGTTCCCAAGATCAAAGCCAGCCGCCTGGGCCCTATTATTATTAGCGCAATTAGTCTGACATTGCTCCTTTTTGACTGTCCCCATAGTGTAACTTAGAGCAGCAGAAAATACTGATAATTTTCAAGAAAGGCTTTTATGAAGATGTGAGCTTTTCCTAGTGTTGAGTGAACCATGGAAGAATATAGGCAGAACCTTAAGATTCTGAAAATATACCTAATAACAAATCACACGGAGATTTATAATGAGCTTAAACATCCTGTATGTCCTAACCAGCAGCACCTGGCACATGCCTGACCTTATAAAAATTGCTAAGTGAACGTTTACTGAGTGAGTAGGTAAAAAACTCATAGGTAAACTCTGCTTTTGTAACATTTCTCCAAACTTTGCGAATGATATCAGTCACATATTAGAAAATATATTTAGTATCAATTTCCTTTGTGATCACCTTTTTACCAACACTTCATAAGCTATGTTTATATTACATTAAAACAACTAGCCATTGTACCTGTTGGTCTGTTCATACAATTTGTCCTATTTAAATGTAGTTGTATTAAGTAGATGAAGACTCCCAAAATTAAATTACAGAATCAGGTCTGGCTAGCAGAACTTGTTCCTACTGTGAAAAATCCAGTGTTTACCTTCATCACTTGATCTGCGCCTACCTAGTATGAAAGTGTCCCATTATTTAAATGGATTCCTCTTCCTTTTCAAAACGCAGGGCTTGGAATTAGTTCAGGGGATCAGGACGGCTAAGATAAATAGTGACTGAATAGATTATTGTAATGAAACAGACCCTGAGTACCACTGCAAAAAAAAATCCCAATGTTGACAATTTTCTTCTATGAGCATTTCATTGATTCATTTACTCAGTTGCCAACAGATATATGTTGCAGGGCACTGAAATCCTAGAGCACTAAACAAGAGCTGTAGACAACAACAGTTTGTCCTGTTTACCTCATAAGCTGGATTCTACCGTCTTTCCTTTTTGCTTCTCTTGGATAATCCTTCTCCACAGTTGGTTTATAGCATTACATATAGCCATTTGACATGCAAAATCTATTTTCTAAGTGGTAAGAGGTCCTGGAGTTTCAGAAGCTAAATTATTGACCTGAAATCTCTTCAACTAAATAAGCTTATTACTAGTACAATAGACAGGACTTCTGGCTTCTTGTATCTTACTTACAGTACAGCTGCTAATTTCTTCCAGACACCAGCCCTAGGGACAACTAGCCTCTCCTAATAGATTCTGTGTGTAAGCCTTCAATTTCAGTTCTCACAGTGTATTAAAAGTACCTACTTATGGGTTTACCTCATCTTAGTGCCCAATGTCCTGAGGATAACATCTTGTGCATAGTAAATGTTCAATAAAAGCAGACTGTTAAGTTTATTTGGACTCTTCTTGTACTGAAATCTTTTCCTATTTCTGCAGAAATTCTTCTCCAAAGCTGCCCCTAGCTCTCAAACCTTCCTTCCATCCCATTAACCAGCTAATATTCCTACTTTCCACCTTCCCACAACTATGTCTCCAATCAGGTTCACACTATCATGTTATAACTTCTTTTTCCTCTACTTACTTCTCTTTGAACTCAGCTCTGCCTCCACACTGGTATCCAGAGCTACCCAACACACATGCTGGGGGACATGGATGCTGGCATTTCTAAAGCTCACCCTTATGTTTGATAGTCATTTATTAGAGGGGCAGAGGTTACCTACCATAGAGCCCACAGTTGGGACTACAGACATCCATTGTCTCCAGGTAATATATATGTATTTTAACTGAAATCTTCAGTGCTTTGATTCAAAAATCACCTAATGATGAGACTTTAGGAAAATAACTGCTCAACATGGAACCAGACTGGCTACTTTCTCTGGATATTCATAGCTATAGCTATTCATTTTCCATGCCAATGGAAATGCTTATTCTTATATTGGGGATAGTTTCAGTAAGCACATGTCCTAATGTTCATGACTCTATTATGGGACCTTCAGAGGAAATATTCAGTAAGAATCCAGAGTACTGCAATCTTCCACCATAATTTTGCAATGTGAACAGGAATCATAATTTTCTGAATTCCTTCAGTGTACCAAGACTGTTAGAAATTTTGTATGATTCACTGTAATCATCACATCAACAGTGGCTAACCAAGGAGGGAGGTATATTGGGCCTGACCTGCCCCAGCAAAGAGGAGTATTTACTTTATCACTGACATTGTTTAGTATGTTTGGTTTAGTATTACTGGACCATGGTGATTTAACAACAACAAAAAAAGACAACTTTCGGTTAGTTCTATTATTGTTTCTAAATTCTTTGGAGACAGTACCTTTCTTATCGCCTACATTTTCTGCTCCTCCCCCCTTGGTCTACCATTGCACACCAACCCGGGAAGACAATCAGATTATCCCTCTGCAGAGAGGACAAAAACAGAGCTTAGAGAATATAAGCATTCTTGGCCACAAAATCAAAGAACTTGTGAATAGTAGATAGAGTTGGGATTCTAACCAAGATCTAACTCCAAAGCCCTCTTTCCTTCTAAACTACCATGTGAATAATAGTAATAAAAATAATAAATGTAGGACCCCTGGGTGGCTCAGTTGGTTAAACAACTGACTTCAGCTCAGGTCATGATCTCACAGATTGTGAGTTCAAGTCACGCAACCCCACTTTGGGTGAGCAGGAGCCCCACACTGAGTGAACACGAGCCCCACTTTGGGTGAGCCCCACTTCTCTCTCTCCTCTCTCTCTCTCTGCCTTTCACTCACTTGCACCCTCTCTCTCTCAATAATAATAATAATAATAATAATAATAATAATCACCTCAAGTATTAAGCATGCTCTCATATACATGATTTCATTTGATCTTTACGTCAAACCTGTGAGACAGATCACAGGGGCCATCATCTACATTCAGAGGTAAGGGGCTCCACGAGATCAACATGTCATCTCTAGGAGATGACAACCTAAGTGGCACAGGCAGAAATTGAGCCCACAACTCCTAATTTCTAATGAAGGTTTATACCTACTATGTACTGCATGTTCTGCTATTTTTGGTACCCTTTAATAT